AACGCTCCGCTTCCGACTTCGTCATCGGACAAAACACAACGCCTTCCTCCGATACACCTGCGCCTGCCCCAACCGCTCCTCTCTCCGCTTCACCTGCTGCAACTGCTGCAGCCGGTCCCCGCGCTGCCGGCGCCGCTGTTGCTGAACTGTCGCCACCCAACGCACCGCTCTTAGCAGCTGCCTGCTTCGCGGCAGGAGGTCCCGCAGGTTTCCCAACAGACACAGCCTTCCCAGCCGCCTTCCCACTAACCGATGCATCACGCCCTTCCAAACGCTCCGCTTCCGACTTCGTCATCGGGCCAAACACAACGCCTTCCTCCGCTACAGGAGCCCCTGCGCCCTCTGTCTTTTCAGTGTACTTCACAGTAATGGATGAGTCATTGGCTTTCAAAAGCTCTGCAGTGGTCTTCTGAATAGGCGCAAACGGAACACCTTCATTTGCTCCAGCAGCTGCTGCTAACGGTTGAGTTTTCGTGAGCTGTTGTGAGCAAGCAGCGTTCGCAGTGTACTCAGACTTTGCGGCTTCCAGTGAAGGATATAGCGTGTTGTCTCTGCTTCTTTTCTTTGCCTGTTGTGGGTCGGTTCGTGGAGCAGGCGTTGTACATTCCTTGGCAGTTTCCCGTCCAAAGCTTTCAGATCCACACTTTTTTTCCCTTTTTTCTTTGTTCGTAGGACCACATATTGAAGCTAGTTCAGTCGCCAATGTCATCTGCCTTTTCTGGTAGAGTTCAGCATTTCGCAGAGCTTCAGTCAATGGAGATTGTTCTCGCGTATCTGCAGACTCATCTACGCACCTGTTGGATGTGGATGGACTTGAAAGTTCTCTCTGCCTGCTATCGGAAGCATCTGAAGCGTGGGGAGAGCATCTTTCCCATATATGTCCATTCGAGGTGCCTGCACTTCGCGGTGACGTAGCTGCATTCGTCGTTCTGCACAGTGCAGTTCTGGTGAATTCTTCACCTCCCACTCCAGCAGGAATTAAGTCCCGGATAATCTGGGCCCGGCGATTTGCTACGCTGCTATCCGATGAAGCGTGGAGCTCTCGACTAGCAGATGAGTCGGTACTTCTCTCTCTGGAGAGCCCATGGCGACGAAGAACACGCAATCTTCGGGGCGTGTCCTTCCTAGTCCAAAATAGATTAAGACGCGGGAGCTTTACTGGATACGATGGAGGGCCGCGGATTTCACTCAGCTGTGTGGGGCCCCCGAGTATACCGTGCCGTTGTGTGCACTCACTGGATGCGTCAGGAAGGCGCGGTGCAGAATTAAGTGAAGTTAAGCTTTCACTAGAAGCAGATGCATCTTCTTCCGACTGGGAACGGAGGCTCAACTTCGAAACTTGTTGATCGTGTTCCGCAACAGGCGACGCCCTAGATGTGTCTGATCAGCAAAACATGAGAAGCATTGCAAGGTGTCAATGAGAGTAGGTATTCCACTACCACGAAAACACGCAGCGGAAAGGCGAGTTTGGATTGCCGGCCAACGTCCTCACTTGAGCTCTTGCTAGAATCTTCGGAATCTGGCACAGGTGAAAAGTGATGAGTCTCATCCCTAGACAATCTTGACATGGTAGCAGCTAAGTTTTCTAGGCGTTCCCGAAACTGTTCACTTGCAACTTTATCTCCCCAATGACACGATTCTTCTGCATGAGCGCTGATGTCGGCCTTATCCTTTGAAATCCCTCTGATAGTCTGGATGCCCAATTTGAAATAACTGACAGTTCTCACCCTTCTACCCATCGAACTACGTTCACTAACACATTGCTTCTTCTTCCTGAAGCCTCGGCACATACTTGCTGAATGAATGGGACTCAGTATTGGAGGCGATGTCGGCAAACGTGCTGATTGTGCCGTCGATGTCTTCTTGCTCTCCTCCCGTTCACCTCTGGGATTCGAGCAGGTGCTCTGCTCAGTAGAAATAACCGGGGAAAACAATACTAGGGTTCCTCCATGGCCTTCGCCTAAACATCCGAAAAGCACTTGAACAGCCTATGAAGAATTGCGCAGCTACGAAGTCCAAGATATGCCTATGCCTTTTCTGACATAGGTTCCCTTCGAGATCATCTCTTCAAGGACTGGGCTGTGTGCATTACGAAGTCAAAGAAAGAATGTCGCAATGTACTTTATCGCTATTTTGTACGTTTTGTATGCGGCTACGCGTCTGGCTTTCACGCGTACTGGGGAGGAGATTGGAAGTAATTGAGGATAAGCTGCGGGAGAGCCACGACTTCCGCCGTCTGAAGCTTCCTGGAAACAAAACGCTGACTTTCATGGACTTGGACAGGTCACGTCGTAGCCCCCCCTTTCCTATGCTGCCGCTATAGGAGCGACGTTTGCGTGCTGCAACATGCCGTAGGCTCGAAGCAGCAGCATTCCACTTTCAGCACTACTTCAGTAGATCATGCTAGCAGTTCTACATCTCATTTCGGATAAGTACCTCGCTAGAGGACGGAATTGAATCGTTCCCAGACAATATCAGTGGCCTTCGTTTCTTTTCTTATTTGTACCTGTAGTTGGTGAGTTGCCAGCTGACGTGCAGTGCACTGATACATTCCGGAAGTGCAGCGTCACGGGTACCTGTGCCTCTGCGTTAGTCCTTTCATCCATTGAGTAGTGAGGCTTCGCAAGAGGGCTAACCGAAGAGGCGCACGGCTCCGTCTGCGCAGCGGTAAACCGCACAACAAACGGTCACCGCTCTTCTTTTGAATCTACAAACTGGAATGGGATTTTGGGTCTGACAACTCTGAATCTACCAATCTTGTGGCCAAAACACGTTACAGGAACAAAAAGAAGTGGATTGATTACGGGAGTCCAACCACCCGCCATTCTACTATGAGCTAAGTTCCTAGCAAAATTGTTTTATTTCAGATGGACGGTAGGTCATTCAGGGATGTCTAATTGTTGCGGGGAGTTACATTTGCTACTTAACTCCCCTACTAAGTCGAAAACGCTTGCACTAGAATATAATGGGTTTTTTATATTCCAGAACTAGCTTGTGCTGGCGAGGATGCCAACAATGTTGCATCCAGCAAACGCTGTTTTGCCTTTAGCAGCCCGCAGCTGCAACATCACGGGGCTGCTGCAAAGATGGTAGGGTTCCGTGCTGGCTTATTCCGGAAGAGTTCCTTTTACTATGCGGCACTGCACATCTGGTGAAATGAGCAACAGCTCGTGCAGCAACTACCCAAACGCGCAGTCTAGTCCCGCGCCATACCGATTGAATCTTTGTTGCAGCCTGAATGATGAACAGAAGAGAAACATTTATACAGTCGCCATTATGACACATTTGCCTGAGATTCTGCGATGGTGTCGCAACTGATCGGACAACTCCTAAGGCTCACTGTTGAATGCACGTCAACTCATGAGGCAACGTGAACTGGGGAGCAAACTCAGCAGTATCTGGCGTGTCTTGACTACTCACTTCATCCTCAGCTTTGGCATTCCGAAGAGGCGTCTGTGGGACTTCCTAAAGACGGAGTTGATGCACACAACACGGATATGTACCTTGCATGACACTGTCACCGGCACTACACAGTAAGCTGCGCTTAAGGAAGTATATAATTTCAGCAATTAGGCAAAGTATTGTGTCCTCCAGTGTACACTAGAAAGCAGTATTCCGAATCTCGCTGCACCTCTGTAAATAAAATTCTTAACTAACAGCAGCCTATCTACTGTAATGCAGCGGAAATTAGAATGCAACTTTTTGTTGTGCACTACAATACTCAAGATTCTGACCAACTGCTGAAGCGAAAAATATGCTCGAGGAGGACGCGGTAGAGGTGCGAACACTTCTTATTCACAGCAGGACTTTACGTGCCACCAAAAGGGCAATGTCTCTTTTCTCACTTTTTTTCCTGAAGCTCGCTCCAACCTTCGTAGCTGCTCTGCTGCAGCTTCTGCGACATTCGTGTGGTAGTCCAACTGCCCTCCCTCGGCGGTCCCCTCTGCTCTCGAAACAATACGTGAGCGAGCTCGGGATGTTATTGCTGCAACTCGTCTCTGCTCCCCCATTTCAGCAGCCAGAGTAAGCTCCAACTGAGTTTCATGCATGTTCTGCGGCATTCGAGACCGCTGCTGAACTGTTGAGTCCGTCGGCTGCAAATAAAGTGAACAGAGAAAGTGCACATAGAAAACGTCCATCACCACTAAGATACGTGATGCAGAAAAAGAGCCAATTTAGATCACCAACTAGCTTGATAGGCTCGAAAATGTTGCGGAAGTTCGCCCCACGCACCTCTACAGGGCCTACAGGAGAGCTGTCCTTGGGAGGAGCAGTGGGCGGCGTTGGGACTAAGGCGCTCCCCTCCCTTTCGGGGGCCATCTTGGCACTCACAAGGTCCGTGTACAGGTGAGGGCTCTGCATGTTGCCACAGTTTCGCACTGGGTTGGTATCTCTGAAACAACTGTAATCTACAGCATCATGCTTTAGGCTCATATGCTTCTTCGGACTAATACCCAGCCCGAAGCTTTGTTGTAAACCAGAGAAAGATCACAGGCAAGTTCGATTGTTGAAAAACACCGAATACAAGCGGCTGGACTCGTCTACATGCTGCTCGAATACTTCCGAACAGCTACATTATCATTTAATCACCGAATAGTCTAGTGCGAAGGTGGACTAGTCAGAAAATGCCAAACTGTGCTCTCACTTCTACTACGTCTGTCTTGTCAGCGTCGTGTTGCGGGTTCGTGCTCAAATCCCTCATCCTTCGCAGTTGTTCAGCAGCTGCATGGGTAACATCTGATTTCTTTTCGAGCAGCTTCGGGTCTGTTATTGACCCTTCCGCACGCGAAATAGCTCGTGAACTGATCCTAGAGGCCAGTGCGGCCGCTCTCCTCTCATTCGCAGTTGAAAAGACCCCAGCCATGGCTTTTTGCATGTTCGCTCTGCTGGCAGGTGACGTTGTTCGCGCCCGGGTTCCATAGCTCCCAACGTTCATGACGTCATTGGCAGTACTGCCTGTACCATTAGTTCTCTCTCGCTCTTGAAGTGAGGCACGCCGGCTATCAGAGGCCCCCGTGGTGACAACGCTCTGGGGAATGATGCTTGCTTCTCCGTGGGACCGCAAACGCGACTGTTCGGTTCCAGTGCCTTTCTGCTCCAGTGCAGCTTCACTTCTCTGCCCTGCGTCTGTTGTTGAAGGCAGTTCAAACATGGAATTCCCTTCCCTATGCTGCCCTGCAGAAAAAACATGACTTGAAGATGCGGGATGGCTTGAGGATTTGGGGGTTAAGATGCCGCATGGTGCATTCTTAATCGACTCTTCGAGAGTGTCCACGTGATTAGAAACTATATATCCTCGCTTTGGGCTGATCGAAAGAGGTGGTTCATTCCTTGGGGACTCTTGTGCTTTTAGCCGCGGCCGAATCTGTCCCCTGAACCACATATCGCATCACTCAAAGCCTTATCACTGTTGCTAGTCGTAGAATGTAGTTCCTGCCACTGTCGAACGGCAAAGTGCGCACCCTGCAATATGTTTACAATTAAACTGAAACTTGAACCAAGTTTTCACGCAACCACTCACGCTGTAGTAGGCACAGCGAGATGCATTTGCTGGACTCGTTGGCGGGAGATGGCTTTGATATCCTTCATATCCCTCGGTGTTACTGACGGACTTGTGACAGCTGTTGTTGGTGGTGGGCCTGGTAAAGTATCCACTTCATCGGCCTTCCCTGTCGTAAGCACCACTTTACCGTGGTCTTCTGCAGATGCTTCTGCTGTGTCACTGATATATCCAATGCGCGAAACGGCATTGCGTGGCCCTCTTGGCCATTCAACCATGGAATTTTCCGCAACTTGGAATGCTTCCTGTGGCCGTCCTTCGGGAGCCGCCATAAGAGAACCTTGTCGACGAGTCTCAGCCTCATTTACCGTGTGTGAGTCCAATTGGGGCAATTCCGAAACAGAAAGGGGGCTTTCTCTTCCCGAGCCGAGCAGGCCCCTATCAGGTCCCTCATCGCTATTCGGTTGTTGCACAGTTCCTTTCGAATTGTTCATTTCCGGGCTGCCTGCAGGAAGACAGTACCTAATCCTGCAACTCAAGCTGCCTCACTGAGCTGAATCCGAAAGCACGCCTACTCTCATCAGAAAGTAGACTGCCTACGTGTGACTTCCCAATAACAAAAATACCGCTTCATCAGATGCAATGATACCAGTGTTTAGGCAGCGCTAAAGCTGAGCTCAAAAGATCAGAGGCCAACAATGAACCACTGAAGGCGGTGCCACGAATGAAGCACAGTGCACCTTAGAAAAAGAACACTAGGTGCATATGGTGCCCAAATACGACACCTAGCTTATAACTAAGACTGTCGTGCTGAGAAACTGCTGTGGAAATAATTCAGAGCCTCTGCCGACGCAGGCAGGGTAAGCAGCGGGTTCCATGGTTCGGTTTGGTTCGGTCAAGCCTTGAGAGAAGCTGCAGCCGATTTCGCCAAAGAAACTCCAATACAACGCATATGTATGGGTTATTAAATTTGGTCAACAGACTATTGGAAAGCTAGAGAGTATTAACTCCCTCCAGGGAAGATGCGGCCTCCATAGCCAGCTAAATGATCCAGTGTTCGACTGCCGCTGCTGACGGTATGAACCATCGTTAAGGTATTTCGTGGAGCGCATTAACTCGTAGGACTTATTACCAAGATAAAATGACCACGAGCCGCTTAGTTATGGCTCGTGGCAACGTTGGATGTGGTGGAGCCTCTGACCCTCTTGTGAGCTTCCTAAGCTGAGTTCGGAACTCTGTCCACTGCGCATTTACCAACACACCTGCTTGATATTGATAACCTGAACAAACTATATAATACGCATTGTGCCGTATTGTATGCTAGCTTACCACTGCTGAAGTAACCAGCATAATTGAGTGCCTGTGAAGATCCAAGGAGACTAACAAAGGACCAGATAGAGGCAAGAACTACGCTCCGCGATTTTGGAGCGGTTTTGCTAGATGTATACTTAAATTAATGTATTCGTCCACAAACTAATGGTTGGGCCGAACGGTTCGTGTACTGTTACTCAATAGTGGCCACTGCAGGCTCACGGAAGACACTATGTAGATACTGTGTACTTGTCCCTTAATCCAGCTCGTGGCAAAAGCAGCGCTCTTCGCTTCACTCTTCAGCAGTGTTTTTTCCTGTGTAGCTGTGTGTAGCCTCTGATTATGAGCTACCAGCGGAGAAAGCAAATAGGGTGGCCTGCTGCACCATGGCCGCCAGCGCCCGAAAGGGGCCATAAGCACAGAATCAGATGCCCGCTCCATAAGCAGATAAATGAGATTCGGTGTCATGCTGCACCATGGCAGCCAGCGCGCTGAAGGGGCCACAAGCACAGAGTCTGCTATGCGGCCCATAAGAACAAAGCCAACTGTGGTACACACACTCTCTGATATTTACATTGAGCAAACTTAGTTCACACGTGTAATACTGGGTCCTTTCTGGATGCGCTTCGCAGCGCGAAATGCAGCACGACTGCTGCTTGTGCTGTTATTAAGGGGTACTTGATCGAGCACGTAAGAAAAAGGAGTTAGGGTTGCAAGCTGCAGTCGACGAGATCCCATGGAGCAGGGTGATAGCTTTTTGAAAAGCTTTTGTGTCTCTTTACAGCTACCACGAGTAACTTTGGGGTGCCAGCTGCAGCAGCACCCCAACAGTCTTAGGTAACTCCAGCTCTAAGAATGAACCCTGTCCTTCCTCAGATGAACGCACAGGCTGGTTAAGGCTGCGGTGTTTACATTTGGTGATGTTACATGCCAAAAACTTTCCGCAACTTGCTGTAGTGTAGGTGGATACGTCACTCATTCACGCGCCTATTCATGGAAGGCACTAAGTGGCCAATCAAACGGAAGCATCATGAGCGCCTCGAGAGGGGATTCAATGGTGAAATATTGGCTCCCTTTGTCCCTGCCCGGCCTGTCAGATGCGGCATAGTGGGTTGTGTTTTGTCGAGCTTGGGGTGTTCGTCTCATGCTTCTGCAGGCACTGTAAGTGTTCTTTTATTGTGCTTCTTAGTACGCTGGTTCGCCGTTAACGAATACTCGCAGCAGATCGCCGAGGTCTCTTGTCCTCCAAGGCATAATCTGTTACGTTAGTGCGAGCAGGCCCTGAAGGGGCCTGGAACGCTTTAAGAACTTGTTTTGCTACTCAGCGGAATACATGCCACTCCCTGAACATGCAACATCTACGTCTACCTAGCCGTCACCTGGCTTGTTGGCCTTAATTCAATGTATGCCTTGCAGTGCATAGCTGCCTTGAGCTCTTGAAACCTGAAGGCTTCTTGGGAATCTCGTTAATCCATTCATGCACGTCATCAATTATATGGCGAAGCATTTGGCTACCTCAAGAACGTCATAGGTACGTTTGCCCTTAGCCCGCGCCTGGTCGAATTTAATCATATTGGCATCCAGAGCAACGGGCAGAAATCAAATTGCGTCAACACCGTTTGCGGCCATTGCAATGCTTTGCTTTAATTAAAAGTCGGATTACCCTTGTCCGCTCCAGCTCTGCATTAGCTGTTCACTGTGCACGCACACCAGAGGTCATAATACAGTCGCTGCCGGCGGTCCACAGAGGCGCCGCTATCCGCGAACGGGACCGCACAGCTCCAACTGACGAAAGACACACTGGCGCTATGCACGCAGCCCTCAGAGCCAGCCCTTTTCCTAGAGATATGAACCCACTTCTCCTACTTCCTCTATCCGCCTTCTTCTACCGACCAGAGATTGCTAAGCTTCGAGACCTGATGCGGTTGATTGTATGCCAAGAGTGCCAGTAACAATTTTTCCTTTTTTTTTGAAGGGCACTCAGGAGCATACCGGATTCCGTGCAAACCAGGGAGCTTTACTAACCAGTCAAACCTATCTTCAAATTAGCTAATTCGAGGTTGTTTGGAAGAGCTTGTTAAAAAGCGGAGACAACCTGCGCAGCTGCCTGCGTCAAACACTCTATTTACGTTACAATGCACCATCCGTGTACTTGCTGAGGAATATTACCGAAATATGAGGGCAAAAGTCCCTGAGAATAACACGCAGTTAAGCTCTCGCTTACGACGGGCTAGTCCATATCCAGTTCTCGTTCACGTAACCCTTCTCCACTTCAGTCTTCAAAGCTCTCCCTGGAATACTCGCTAGTGCCACCAAGATCTGCACTAGAGACAGATCTATAGAGGATCATGCCCAATGCTTCACCTCGATCCTCACATCTTCCTACTTATTACCGCAAAAATTCGAGTGTTTGGAAACTCGCAGTAGTGGTGTGCTACCAGTAACACGCTGCAGCGCCACCCATTTTGAGAGCTGGTTCATTCGGCAGGTAATTTTTTACACGGTACTTAATGGATCTCGCCTTCCATAGCCACCGTCCTGCTGCCAAAACGAACCAGCACATTTCTTTGGTATCTCTTAAGCGAGTGTTTGCGCACCTTAAGCAAGCGTTTGGAGCATCTCCCATGCCAGTTCTGCTCACCGGGAGTGGGCAGCTTAAAGTTCATTGTAACCCCAGCAGTTCAATTGAGTATGCATTGATTCTTACCCATTTAGAGCTGGAGAATAGGCCGAGGACGACGCGCCCCTGATACCTCTTATCGTCCGCTTCAAACTAATTGAACTCCAGCTGTGCTGAGGGAAATTTCGGGAGAAATCAGCTACTAGACTGTCATATTAGGTTTCCACCCCTATGCCTAGGTTTCACCAATGATATGCGAGCCAGAAGCTTTCCCTGACGGCGCAAAGCCTCACGGTACAGGTAGACATGTTATTAGAGAAGGAAATAATCCTCGGTCTGAACACGTGAAAACCCACAGACGAAGCCAGAAAAGAGAAGGGGGGGCGCGATTGTGGATCGGTCTCTGCAACGAGCGCCTTACGCGGCTAGACGAGACGCAGAACACAAAAAGTCGCTTGCTTCATGTCTATCTACGCCCGCATAAATGCGATACGCGGAGCACAGATTCCTCGGGCTACACAACAGCAGGTGTGCCGTGCGTATTCAAATTTGAAAATTTCAGCAACGGATCTGTTCCCTTCATGGCTTCCATCGACTAAAATCACACTCAACGAACGTGACTACATAGTACGCACATGTGAATATATATATATATATATGCATACGTATCACCCCGAATTCAGCTTATCTGAGGTCCTCCGTGAAGGCTGCGTGGAATTCCGTAGAACAACTCTTGCTGCCACACAGGCAGCATCCCTCATCCCCTCTCTTCAAATGCATCAAATCACTCTTTGTCACGTGGGGCTTCGGGAGGACTCTAAAATGGAGGGGACAGTGAGCCACCGACTGAAGGCATCGGCCCGCAAGAAAAGCTCTTCGTGACTGAAACGCGTCCATCACACCATCTGCATTCTCTGGGCACTGAGATGACAACTCAGCATGTCCACTATGCCGTTCTTGCTCTGCCTCCGCTCTAAATAGGGCAGGGAGCACAACTCTTTCGTTTAAAATTTCAACGACACGGGCTGCCGCCTGCCCGTAGGTCCACACAGTTGTCAGTCGGCCGAAAGTGCAGACAGTGCCCGGCGGTAAAGTGTTGCATTGGCACTTTAGCAGTGGCTGCTGCACGTAAGGGCCACTCGACTCGAGTGGCGTTTCTTCGCATTCCAATCTAAACTGCGCCACATTGTCATCTGACCCGAAAAAGTGGCTATCCAGATGAATGTGCAGCTGCCTATCAGTTTCAACGGATCTGCTGACTGCACAACGGTCAAGTATACCACCAAATGGAAGAGTCTCGGAGAGAACTAGATCACGAATCATAGGGGGTAGGCAACTTAGATTGACCACCAGAAAGCCATAGGAAAAGGGCTGGCACTGGTGCGCAGGCTTATCAGACAAGCAGTTCGTGGTAGTGAGCATGACATGTCGGGCGTAAACGAGCTCACCAGCCTTAGTATGTGTCAAAAGATGCGCCGTGTCACTACCTTCAACAGTCACTGTGCCGCTACAGAGGACTGAGACGCCCATTTGCGAGCCAAACAATCTCTGTCCCACAAGTGTGACATTACAGTTGAAGCGTGTAAAGGGAGCGAAACAGGGGGGCACATCTCTTAGCCAACGCAGCCTTGTGTCATCTGCTGACTGAGGCAACTGGGGCCCTTCTTTTCCATTGCCTGCAATGCCTTCCTTTGATTCCCTTGTGGTGACAGTTTCAAAGAAAGCTCGAGCGAGGAAGTCCCTGAGAGCTTGGACGCGTTCCCTTGAAACTTGTCGGACCGCGCACTTCCTGTGAACCTTACGTAGCCCATCTGAACTGTCTGAAAAACTGAGACATTCAGTTTCTTCGGGCCACCATCGGGGGTTTCCCAGAAATCCGTTCAAAGATGCCTCTGTAGCCTCCTTGGTCACGTCTGTGCCTTGTGTCGGGCCCCGCACGGCCGATGCTGTCTCATGAGCCATCAGAAAATACGCAATTCGGAAGTTTCACGTGTCTGAAATTTTTGTTCCGGCTCGTTCGCGCCCATACGCACCGCACGGGTATCCCAATAGGAAAGACCTAGTAGTTTGGGCGGCACTTCTGAATGCTGAGCCGCCGCGTCCGCTGTCAAACTCTCTCAGCATAATGCCTCATGCAAGCAACAAGATGTAGCTTAGCTTATGGTACGAGGAGCGTCTGAAAGGCCGTCATTTGTCGAAGGTTCCTGGTGGGCAACAGGCCAACGTCCTGTCAACGTAGAAAGCGATCTAGTGAGCCCAACTGGAGCTCGTCCCTTCGACTGCAGTTGTATGGCCAGAACGACTAGCTTAGTGTTTGCAGCAAGCCCAAGTAACAATATTACGAACTCCTCCTCAAAACCGCTCTCACCGGCGAGCTCAGGTCAAATCCCACATGCCTGGGCCTTGTGTGAGACCTTTGCCAATGGGGAATTGCATGTTGCTCAAAATAAATCGAAATAGATTTTAGTCTAGCGTAGTCTGAAGGACAGCGGAAAACCACATCCTACGGATCGAGAGGAGACAGTGGGGCTTTAATGAGACGCTTGCCTTCGTGAGACACACAGTGTGGCACAGAATTAGGAGCTGGACACAGGAGTACGATGCAGCATTAGAATGCCATTTTCATTAATAAATAGATGATAAGAATGGAGGACAATTTTCGGTATTCAGACCGCTCCTGCTTCATCGTACTTGGAGTAGACGTACACACATACACAGGCAAGTAACCAGCGCCATGGATACAGCACAACGGTTTGGACAACTGCTACAGAGCCAAAAGGCAAAACTCGACGTTAAAAGCCCCGTCATATATTAGTAGAGTACACTGGTCGCTCCGCGGTTTTGCGTGTCGAGAATTTGTGAACTTCGTAGCCTCGACTTAGGGTTTCATAGTTACAGTGACGGCTCTAGGCACCTTGCAGTGAACCTGCAGAAATTGTTCACAATTTTCTCAGAGTGAGGTATCATTAATAAACTGCTGCGCAATGCGGTCAGGTCTCCCAGTGCAGCACCTGAGGTATTTGTCTCTCATGAATACTCGCATCGTCTTCTGGACAGCGAAGTCATACCATGAGCAGGTCGTGTAGACTGCGCGAATATAGTAGTTCTGTTGAATGCAAAACAAATGTCGTTTCAGGAAGAGTCTCTTCTGAACTTCCTTGCGTGTACAAGTGCAAGCTGGCAGCTTTTGCATGCGCTGTTCAACGGCTGAGGACACGCATTGTGCCCCGTTTTCACTTCATTCACCCACAGTAAGGTGAGGTTTTTGTTACCCAGGGATGTAGTGCGGGCCTAGGGTCTACAGATTACAGCTTTCAAAGAAGCTTGAAACGGCCAAAAGTGCTGTGGATGCGATTTGTCGAGTCGAAGTTGACCAATGATGCAGCTGACTGCCGCAGAGGAGTTACCTGTTAACGGGCTTTGCATTGGCATTTGGGTTGATAAATTGATTTGCACGCTTAGCTGGAAGTAGCAGTACCTAGCTGTACTGGACGAAATGGCTGCACAGAGAGCAAAACCTCGGGGCAAGAACAGATGGTTAGTTTACATCGCCATAATGCTCACGCTTGCAGAGTCGCATTCTACACTCAATGGCCCACCAAATTATATCTCATTCACTCTAAACGGCAATGCAGAATATGCATAACAACAGCTGATGCACTTTCGACTTCGTCTAGCTTGGGCTACACCGATACAGGCACTGCTAAAAGTATCTGTTCTGGGCTAAAGAAACGCAATTTTGGCTAACAGCAAAGGAGTTTGCAACACTCAAGTGTCTTCGTTTCGGGATGAGCAACATCATTAGGCGATGCCAGAGCCATTCCAGCGGCACAATCGGCATGTGTTACTACTACAGTCACTGGCACGGCGGCTTCAGACAAACAAAATAGATCTGGACTTGGACTTCGGCTTCTGAGGGATTGAAACATGTGCTCAAAGGTAACGGGGCCGAGTCCCGCGGGTAATGGCTTCTGTTTCATTGATCCAGTAACTCGGCATCAAAAAGCCACTCACACGTTTTTATAAGGTGCGCAATCACCCAACGAGGCGTCGTACATAGGTCTACTTGCTTAGAATTCCTCAGGACACACTGCTAAGCACTGCAGCCATTGTGAGTCTGTAAAGCTTGCGCCAGGCATTGCTCAACATCCATTTGTTGCAGCATAGCTCTGCATCGCTTGCAAATACTATATATACATATATGGAGTGTACCAAGCACTGACTGCCCATAGCGGGCACCTGTAGTTGCCTTTCTGTACATTTGCTTCTTAGTTGCAGACAGCGGAAGCTACAGTTGGTAAGTGATGTAATCGCAACCTCGGGGCTCTTTTGGCCCAGAGGTAGTCGATTAATTTTAGTCGCTTCTATAATGACACACTGCTAGCACATACATTGCTTGTATGGGACTTCTAATGCAGTGCTTAGCTTAAGGCGGGACATCTACTAGGCCTGCTAGGTCTGTATTCCACAAGGGAATAATGCCTATGAGATGTCAAATGCTGAGCTTTCGACACTATGATTTTCGTAATAAGCATTTTTAACTTGACATTTCCACAGGTATAAACACAGCGAAGCTGAACATTTGCCGTATTATGGCTCAGACCCCAAAAGCGTGGCAGTCACACACATCGTGTTGCTGCTACTTGAGTTGCTTCGCAGCCTGTTTGACTTCACCAGAAGTTGTTTTATCTCTGAATATCTTTTGTTTTTTTTCCGAATAAGTGTATTTCAAGTTTTATATTGAGCTTTGTCCTCCTTTGTCTTGTCATCTGTGTCAACACTGTGTGCTTGCCCCTTCTTGACGTTCGATTTGCGGCCATGGATATTTCAACCTGCGATGGACTCGGAGGGGTGAAACTCATTCTGACAGACTTCGATTACACTTTTCTTGATTCTGACCACAATGCTTCTGAGGCGAATGCAGCAGCGTTTGGCAAGACTGCGGCAGCCGGAATCATCACGGCCATTGCCAGCGGGCGGTCCAGAGACGGAACGCTTTCGTGTCTCTCTGAAACTTGCAAGGGGCTCATGAAGTACAGTGGGTATCCTGGAATTTTTCTGAATGGCAGCGTAGTGTATGGACGGAATGGGGATATCTTGTCATGCACGGAGATACCGCTTCCCGGCCAGCACCTTTTGCTAGAGAAGATGAAAGAAATGGGAGTGCTGAATAACATTCTCGGCTATACTCCAGATAAAGTCTTGTGCATTGAAAGGAATCAGTATACGGATAAGAGCTATGTGGTGTACAAAGAGCCAGCACCAGAAGTGCTGCCGTATGAAGAATTTGCGTCCACACGATTCGTTAAACTCGTGGCGTGTGGGACTGTGGAGTCTACGAATGAAGCTCGACCAGTCCTGGAAAAGGCAGTTGGTGACCACCTACGATGCGTAAGGCCCCTTGACTGGAATCTTGAGTTCATTAACCCTTCAGTATCTAAAGCCGTCGGGGCAAAGGTACTGTTGGAACACTTAGGCGTGGACGCAAGTGACGTGCTTGCAATGGGTGACGGCGAAAATGACATACAAGTGCTTAAGCTGGCAGGGGTTTCCGTGGCAGTTGCGAACGCGTGTCCTGCAGCCAAAGCTGCTGCAAAGTACACAACTGTGAGCAACAACGAGAGCGCCTTCCAGGTCGTTGCCGACCTAGTCTTGAGTGCACAAGCAGGAAAATCGACAAAATTGCTGGCCAATTGATTGTCGAATTGCAGTGCTTAGGCATTAGTCTTCCCATGCTTTTTTCCCACCGGCGTACGCTAGCCAAAAACTGTTTTCGTTCCATTTATAGTTCTTCACGTGAACTGCCGTAGTGCCTTTCCTTACCAGCATCCTTTAGAAGAAATAGACATGGCTTCTCTCCGCAAGTATTTCACAAGTCAACTAGTGACGCCATGCAGTAGGGAGACTTTATAGGCGAAACCACGAGCAAGTGTCTCACAGGAAGCAGTATAGGGTCCTGCATCCACGACTTCCTGCGGGCCAAAGTGTGGCCGAAACCTGTTATACTGTCAGCAACAGCCTAGTCCTGCTATACTGACTGCGCGCTATGCTCTAACCAGCTCACTACTAGTATTCGGCTTCGCACTCCGTCACCGAATACCACCAGCAACCCTTTAGCGAAGCACCCATGAGAAAAGTTGTACCAGTTATTTGCAAAACAAGCCTCTCGCTCGCTCAGTTGCCAGGTGGTTTAGATGATGATGGTGGCCGCCCGAGCGGGCCTTGATCTCTCCATGTTGACTTTCGGAGAGCAGCCGGCTCGACATCTGTAAAATCTGTCTCATCGCTTTGTCCAAGCGCCGGCATACGCGTCGTGAGCTCGTCAGAATGAAACACTAGCATAAGAAGCCCAGTTAGGGAAACAAAGGCGTGTTTTAGGATGTGGTCCGACACGCCAAAACTGCAAGTATTCCGCAGAATGTTGGTATAACACTCGACGCGCCGCACCATGTCGAAGTATTCCGCTTGCTCCTCGTACAGGACGCGGTTAAAGAATGTTGCGCCAATGCCTGTACGTGCAGCCGCACACAAACGGGGATCACAAACGCAGGGTTCGTGCATCCTTTCCCACTGCTTCCAGCTGAAAACGTGGAAGCCACCAAATACGTATATTACGGCTTGTACCAGCAGCATGTTGGGCATGCACTTCCTGCCGCGCGACCTTGCATACATTTTGGCAAAACGGTCTTGTAGCGTGACAACCTCTCGGCATTACTAACTAGCTCCACGACGTTTAGTTCAGTAGCATTAAACACAATAAGGGTTCAAGCCTGGCTACAGTGACTTGCCATAGAACTGTATAGGACCAGGATTGCAGAAGCGATCCTCCATCATCCACTGTTCCAGCGCTGTCTTCATCCACCTACAAAAGGACCCACAGGCGAAGCAAACCACCTATACTGTTTGCTACAGTACAAACCGGAACCCAAATCGTCTCAGTGAAAGCCATAGTTCCTATGTAATACCGAATATAGCATTTATATTCCACACCAACTGCTATCCTCAAGTTGTACTCTGCTCTACCCTTTAACGCTGCGGAGCTTGTCACCTGTAAGCTTTGCCATCAAGGCTGACTTCGGAGCTGGGAATGACCGGCTGCTCTGTAACACTGGGTGTCCTTGAGGTACGATCAATTCCAACGTCTGCTGCAGAAGTGCCCGTGCGCTGCGTCGCCGCTGTCAGGGTAGGGTTATCCTGTACATTTGGTACCAGACGCATGAGCGATACAAAAGGCACAGAGCCCAAGTGCCATTCTTTTGGATTGCCACACAAGCCGCGGATGCTGCAGCAATGCCCCGTTACTCCTGATTCCACTAAAATAGAGGCGAGGTTCCTGCAAACATGAACCACAACGGCTGGGGAACAAGCCCTGCAGGGTGAACTACGCCGTAAGCGAATGCATTTCCAAATTCCGCAGGCTTAAATACTAACTCAACCACTCCATACTAAACAAGACAGCTCAAGAACTCAAACATGAAAAAAACTGAATGCTCTGCATGTCAGCTAGGCGGCCGTTACTATGAAGACTCACCCGTAGGCGTAAGCCAGATTTGCGTCGAAGGTCGAAGGCATTGAAGATCTCCCCTGGTAACCGAAAAAATGAGTCACCGCCTGGAATTTCCCGCAATACCGGCCTACTGACGCTCTATACTCTAACTCTTCTTTAACCATTTGGGCCAAAAGCTCCTCTGTTTCGAGACGCTCAAAACGAATCTGCAAAAGAGCATATCATACATCATATATCATACATACCGCAGCAAGAATCCGCTGTGCCCTGCCACGTGGCCACAGCTATTCACCTGATTAATGTAGGACGCACCTCTCCCATATCAACCTGGACGAGTTCCCTGCGGATGAATTTAGGGAAAGTTTTAAAGAGCGCGGCACTCCATGGGGTCAGTCGCCAGTTCCAGCTGTCGGGCTCGTTGGCCGCCCAGCTATCCACGTCCATAAGTTGTTGCTATTACACACCATACAATGCACAACACTCCGAATGCCACATGAAGAGTTCATCACCATCCTAAGCGTGAAATACGCTACGGCTCTTCCGTGGGAGCGGCTTGCTACTCGAAATCCTCACCAAACCACAATACTACACGTCAAGCGTCTTAAACTCTTCCCGGATCTACCAGTGCCTTTGACAGAAACTCGAGCTTCAAACTGATAGAGAATCAGTGACGAAACCTGGGTTTGCAGTTCTATGTGCGAGTAGCTCCGCTCGCTCGTTACCTGTGCTTTTTTCATCTCTCCTTTTGACTGCGCCTCTCTGATGATCCTGCGGAGCTCAGCCAGAAGAATCTTCATGTTGGGCAAGTGCATCAAAAGTGCATCTGGAATCAAGACTGTTCCAAAGTTCCTTCCCAACTCTGCACGACGACAGACTACATCTGCAATGTCCTGAAGGCAATGCATGTGCACAATAGGACCCACTTCAATATGGTCGCACTAAAAGATGGACCGCAGATGCACCTGCTCCAGGGCAACATCAAGTGCAAAACATGTGCTGCGAGCTTCTTTACTTGCTTGCTGCCTGAACGTACCTGCACAACGTGAAGAAGAGTCTTGTCAGCAGCCCCATATTCCTCTGCAATGATGACGACGTTTGGATGGGTTTGCAGCGCACATTCCAGAACCTAGTAAATCCAAAACAAAGAGCGGCAGCTTAGGCGACGAAGTAGAAAATACCGCAAACATATCTACAACCATTAGTTGGTCTACACGTGTTTCGCAAAACGTCAGAAAAGAAGTACCAAACTGTTCACAATGCTTGACGATGGGGGCCTACCTCGAACGAAGGCTGCCTGCCCATGAGTCTTATAAAATGCCAGTACTTCGGCATAGAGGCGGCATCTGTAAGAACGTTGCCAATGAGTGCCGCATACACCTTGGTGCTGCTGTCGAATCCAACACAGGTCTCGATAAACTCGCCAGCCAAATTGTTGCTTCCAGTAGCAGGAACCCCGATGATGGAAGTGCGGCATTGGCGCGCGAGGAAGTACTCTGCAACCAGTGCAGCTTCAGACATGGCGAAAGCGGACCCCGGCATCACCAACCCGTCTAGCATCAGCTCCTCACAGCGCTGCCTCACAGCTTCTTGGTTTTCGACGGATCCCAAGCAATGAGTAGTGCTTCGTCCTGTGAGCTCGCAGCCTCCCTGGTTTAAAAACAGTTCCAGGTTTTCGTCTGTAATTTCAATATAATTTTTCTCAATCAGGCCCTTTAGACCAAAGAAAGCCAGGCACTTGCCCTGTACCATCTTGAGGCGTTCATGAAGTCCCCAGAGGACGTTCATGACACCAGGGCTTTGTCTTGACAACAGGACGAATCCAACGCGAAGGCCAAAGTTGATTGGTGGAGTGTATTTATCATGTGCTACTTCATGGAGGTAAAATAAAGTGCTGTTTGCCAAGTACGGGTAATGCATCAGCACCTGACGCTGAGTGTATGGGTCCTTGCAAAGAACCTGCTTCATCGGCCTCGCTTTGCACTTCGGGTCAAGGCATAGGGGGGGCACAGGCGGCCGATGTGTCAACCGCTCGCGTTGCAATGCACTCAAGAAGCCGAAGCTCTTGACAACACGGCCTCCAACCTGCAGAGCCAGGACACGATGAAAACCGTAATGGCGGCTACAAACCAGTGAGCAGCCGAAAGCAAGACGCCTGTATGGGCCTGCTGCACGGTCATGGCAAAACAGGCGATACGCAAGGCATGCAGCTGCGAAGATAAAAACCTCACCCCCACATAACTAACAGACTCCGACTGGTGCAAAAGCTCATCCTCTGTTGGAATGGATACAGCATACGGAGGCTCGTCCGCCGTGGGCCCCTCGAATTGAATCGGCCCAGGCACGCGATAGAAATCACCAAACTTCCACTGGTCGCGGGCCTGTACCAAAATTAAACAGACAATAAATGCAGTGTCAAAATCTCATCACATTTCCAAACTGCAGAAACCTGTCACGCAAAGAGGTAATTACAGCCTTAATGCCTCACACAGTATGTGGTGCTCTACTTCACGCGAAAGTCTGCGCACAAAGCTGTCACGGCCTCCAAAGTTTCACGGCCTCTTGCACGGCAGAATGCGAATCTTTTCGTGTGGCAGCGGCACTCACCCGGCAGAAAACTTTAAACAGAGGACCGTCAAGGTCCACTAGAGAACGCGTGATTGCAGGAAATGCTACACCTTTAGCGTCCTCCTTGACGCACATCATCGTCGTGAACGGTACGCCTGCGTTAAACAGTCCATTGAATTTTGAATATGAACGGAATATACATCCTCATATGAGCAGCCAGCAACTTGTGGCCCTTTACTAAGGCCAGACAGTTGCTTGTTTCAGGTTGCAAACGTAGCACTAGGGTCATAGTAGGCCTGCACACCTGCTGGCGTCCACAGGGTGGGATGCTGATCAAGGTTCCGCACGACGGACATGTATCCATTCCTTCTGTTGTCAACAAGGGCGCCTAATACCAAAAAACAGGCGCAACCACGCAGTTCTACAACACTGGAGCGTCATGCAGCAAACGGAGTGGAGATTCCTCGCGAAACACGCGTGTAGGGAGTATTCAAAGGCGATGATCGCTCCCTTTTGCCGAAGTACATCGTACCCGCAACAAACCCAAGAGAATAACAGTAATTCGCATCAAAATTTGACGGCATCGCGCAGCGCCCTTCGTAGCCGAAGTAATGTGGCATGAAACTCCACTGTTCAGGGTCCTTCCCCTGCTTCGCCAGCTCATTTTCTAGCAGCAAAATCAATAACCTCTCAGTTGCTATTTTCGCCACCTGTGCAAAAAACAGAACAAATACTCGCAATGTTCAGGCCTGACTTTCTATGTTAGGCTTCCATCTTGTCGCTCTGTTAATGCGCACAACTGCTGCTCAAACTTGTATCAAAACTGTGTGAGCAAGCTGGTTTCTTTTCAAGATCGGCTGATACCGGGCACCCACGCAGCGTGAAAGGAACACCTCGCGCACGGTGAGCACGCTACGCCGAGCGCAATTCTTGTACACCGTTGGCCAAAAGAGTCCCGCATGAACGCACCTGGATGTAGCCTGTGCTTTCACGGTCCATAAGCAGTTGGTCTTGAATCACATCAGGAAGGAAATCCCAAACAGCACGGGTTGTCTTCAGTAGCTCTGGCTTGAAAGTCTGTGTGCGCAGACGTAGTCATAGAGTCGCATAGGGGTGGATTCATATTTAGCATTCAACAAAAGACCAGAACTAGGTCCGGCCCCTTTTGGGCACTTTGCTCTGGGGGATGCATCTGTTCATGCGTTTGTCTTTCCCTGCCGTTTAAATGACTTAATAGGGAAAGCTCCACAAACTGACACACTCACCTGTCCTGTCTTCAAAACGCTATTAAGTTCTTTGATGAGCTGCTTCATTTCCGGAATGAACTCGATTAGCCCTTCCGGCACAAGAATAACGCCATACATCTTTCCGTCTGCCGCGCGTTTAAGCACAAGTTCGACAAGTTCCTGCACTATCTGTTCAAGCGACATGTTCTCCTTCTCCACCTCTTCCCCGATGAAAACGAGATTCGGTCGCGCCTGCATTGCGCACTCTAATACGAGATGAGATGCGCTGCGGCCCATCACTCTCACAAAGTGATACACTTTCTGGGAGCTGTTGACGTCAATGCACAGGTTGCCGATGAGCTCCGAATATGTCTTTGCCGCCGTGTCAAACCCAAAGGAGGCCTCGATCAGAGCATTCTTCAAGTCCCCGTCAATTGTCTTGGGAACTCCAATGACGCAGCAACTTGGGAGGTTCGTTTCAAAGGACTCTGCTAGTAATGCAGCGTTGCTGTTTGACCCGTCTCCGCCGACCAGCACGAAACCGTGCAGCTCCAATGATTCGCAGACCTGCAGGAATGGAAAACATGCAGTTGCACAAAAGCATGTCAGCAGCGGGCGCCTTTAGTGAGAGGCCCACCAACCCTTCATTGGCAATCCAGGAAGGAAACCAATGAAGGGTTGAAAGATGTTCCGGCTGCTCCCTGTTGTATTTACTTCGCCGAATATAAAACATATGCAGACTATTTGTACCCGCTACTTAACACGACTGCACGAATAATCCCTCCATCTAACTTGCCCGAAAACCTACAGCAATCTCGTCTGCAGACGACGTTTGAAATGTATGGTGGGTGTTCTTCACAAGAAATTTAATGTATTAAACTTTAGCCCCTTGGAGCTCAGGGGTTTTCGTGAGTGTTTGAGTAACGCCACAGCAAACTGACAAAGACCAATTAAGTTTTCAGCAAATGCTCGTTTGAACCCGCTGCCTCTGAAGCTATCAATCAATATGGTGAAATGCCCCGGCCGAACATGCCTGGCAGTAAAGCCTACCTCTCTGGCCCGTTGTATGTCTTCCTCTCCACCAACTCTGCCACGTCCTGACCAGAGCATATCGAAACCTCCCTGGTTCCTGAAGTCTTCCATGAGCTCCTCCGTCACGACCTGCGGGGAATTAAGGCGCCAAGCATCACAGCTCTTACATTAGCCCTGCGCATCTTTTCACCGGAATAAAACTCGCTGGCATAACACACGCCTGTCTCGCTTTCCCTATTACAGCAAATCCTATTTCGACTCCGAAGTGCAGCGGTGCTTCCGCTGTGCGTATTCAAATCTAGTGTGAGCGTGCTGTAGACTCATTTAACGCAGCGCGTAATCCTTCGCATTTCTAGATGCTGTCAAGGCAGATGGAATCAATATTCGTCAACTGCAAAAACTAGCATGGTTCGTGTGACTTGCCGTGTAGTTTTGATTCATCACTCCATCCAGGCCGCCCATGAACCCCACAAGCATTGACTCGGAGTGCCTTTGTTTGACGAAGTCGTACAGCCCGGCAATTACATTGTGCCCTCCTGGAGCGGGGCCCCCACTGAGAACTATCCCGATCCTCAGAGCTTTGGAAAGCTGATGCTCTTGAGGCTCCTTAGGAGATGCGGTGCCGCTGCCCATGCCCGGCACTAACTCTACGTACTTCTTCCCGTATGTGGCCGGGAAGAAGCCCCGGAGCTGTTTCTGCACTTCCTCAGACTGATGCAATGATGGATGGTCCACTGGACACTCAGATTCCACCAAACGCAGCTGCTGGCTCTCCAGTGCAGAAGGAAGAGTGCAGCGCCACGCCCGTCGCAGTCGCTGGAGAGGGGAAGACTGAGAAAATCATTCAGAGCGACAAGAAAGGTTGCGTACTCAGTCAGCCGCAGTATACTGAGACAGACACATAAGTTCCCCAAGAAAAATGCGTGCTTGACAGTGTTATAGATTTCAAGCCGACTGCGCAAGAGCATAGGTGAAAATACTAAAAAAATGGACTACAAGCTACCTCAAGGCATCCTGAGAGAAAAGCAATATATATATCTGCCCATCCACGACCCATATATCCATGTCCATATATACCAGAGCTACACGGAAGGCGTGGAGGCTTCGGGGCAGCAGAACTTGTGCCCTATATAACTCACCCGTTCAAACAGATCTGCTGAGTGTAAGTGGACCTTCCCGTTAGTTTCCTGTTCTTTCAGTACAGCATCGACGGATGGAGCTGCCTCGCTAGGTACGCCCGTGGCGAGAGTACCAAATACATTGCCTTCCGTCATGCCGAAAGAGGAGAGGCGGCGCGATAACTGTCTGCTCCTAGCGTCAATGGAGAGTCCAACCCCAGCTCGAAAACTAAATCGCTTAACAGGTCTTGAACCTGGCTGCTGGCGGGTGCTTTGGGCGCTTGTAAAGCCCACTTCGGTGGGTGTGTTCTCCGTCTCTGCCTGCCCCCTTGGCGACTGCGTCGTCCCCGTCGCAGGCTTCCACGCATCCCGAGATGGCGAACGGGCTCCATGAGGATCTGCTGGAGGTGCTGACAACTTGTATTGGTTGTCTTGAGTCAAAACCAGTAGAGAGCGGCCGCGACGCAGGTGCGCAGGAACGGCAAAAGCGCCGCTCGCCGCACCGGCAGGAAGAACGGCCACAGGGTGGCCGGGAGAGCCTGAAATAACAGCAAAAATGGCGCACGTAAGAAAACCCAGTTGAGTGCGTGCATGTTTGACACAATCAAGTTGAATGGTAGCAGTTGTCACCTAAGTTCGGTAGCGCCGTCGGTACTCTACAGCACACGACAAGCAAAGGCCAACGGCCTTTCCTACGTTTGTGCCAGCCACTCAGGCGCTCCTCTAGTCCAGCAGACAGATCTGCTTAAAGAGAGACTTCTTAAATATCGCGAAGGGAACGGAGCGAGTGTGTCCCTGACCATCAAAGGGATCCCGCGTGGCGTGTGCGCACACACGAACTTGTCTCGTGCCATCACGTTTCACTGCCAAATGGTATTGTCAAGCAAGAATTATTAGATACAGCTAGTGGAAGGGGAAGTAAAAGTCGGGAAGCACACTCACGCTGAGGAGGAAGAGGAGGAGCGCCGGGCCTGTGGGCCCCCGGGGCCGGAAGCGGTATTCGTTCCTCAGGCATTTTGAAAACTGTCTTAATGTACCACTGAAATAGGAATGAAGAGGTTACGAGGAAAGGAAGGGGTAATTTTCTCCCTTACACCATGTGGGCTGAGACTCAGCCCCAGCAACACACACATGCACACACGCGCACACACTCTATAAGAAGTCCTGCCTCATAGCAACAAAAACTTCGTTTAGAAGAACAGGTAACGCAATCACCAGGACGAAAACAGAGTAGCTTAAGAGATCGTGCTGAAGTCGTGGGAGACCAACTCGGCGGCTCTTCGGGACAGTACCACCCTATACAGCTCATCTGCTACGTTGTAAAATATCATATTTGAGTCTGTGACAAGCTTGGCTGCCTGAACAAAGTGCAAACTCGCCATCCCATGAGCAGCCTTCGTATAACAGTAACACAGGCATCGAGTGCCCGAGTAGCCACCTGGGGAGACGCTACACATTGTAACGGAGAAGTGCGAAAGTGCCCCTAATCTGACTAAGTATGGATCCACTTGGTATGAAACCTTAATGACGTGCGGCTGATTTTCAGTCTACTGCTGAGTTGAGGTGTTGCCTTTGTAAGTGCAGTCACAGGCATGATATCTGCTTCTGCTGTGCTCCGAGTCGCAAGGGAAACACCGTACGCAGACCTTTGTGGAAACACTTGGCATGGAAAATGTGTATTTAGGATAGAGTGGGGAGGTATTTTTGATTCGCAATGGCAGCGCCAGCGTTCGCGAAGTACAGCACATTTTAGCTCTACATACCGCCGCTGCAGGCTTCTACACAATTTACAGCGCAGTGCTGCTTCCTAAGCTACGACTTGCTTGCTATTGTGTCCACACGTTAAAGCTCCAGCGCTGTGGCATGAATCGCTTGAGAGAGAGGGTACAGTGCCGGATATCCGGCAACCTGAACATGCAGACCAGCGTCTTCGCAAGCACGCAGCAGAGTGGGCCAAACTACCTCTCGTTTGGCATGCCGTAGCTCTAACGTATAAGAGCATCGTCCACTGCTTAGCAGCAATAACAAATGCGCGAGAACAATGCTCCAATGTATCTGAGCGTAGGCGGCGATGCTCAAGCAAATTGTCAACAAGGTGCTGTCCTTTTCAAAAGGATTTTGGTGCGCATTTCCTTGTGGCAAACTATGATGCAAGACTCTTGATCACCTGCACTGTCTGGTCTAGCGTGCTCATAGACCTGCTGACGCTGGCACTGGCAGGCCACCACTTCAGACGCCGCAGAGAACTACTAGGACAAGAGGTTTGAAAAGGTAATGTGTGTAGTCTAGGCCGCGTTGCGTTGCGGGCGGTAGACACGGTGGGCCTATGACGGAGGTGGGACGCTCTCGTGAAGCCTAGACTACTCATTCTCACTGAACCGGCAGTCTAAGGTTATTCCCACTCCACTAAACTAAATAAGACCTTTTTGAGAGCATCCTTTGGGGGGTGCGAATGAAATCTCACTATATAGTATAATAATAGCACGGCACCGTATGCATCCGACGAAATCAACTAATGGCGCTGAGGATCTCCTGACACTCTGTGCATGGCCTTCGGGAACTGACTCCGTAATTGTGTTTCTAGCCCTGTATCAAGACACCGTGGGCCTGCAATAAGCAAACCGTTAAACCTAATTTGTCAGATGAACGGAATGTTCTACGAGGGCACCACGGCCCTGCAATCAACGCGCCAATTTGGAGATTAGGATGTGAGGACCTCTTGCACTTTGTTGTCCATGTTACACGGACCTTCCACAGAAACGGGCAGACGTTCTAGTGAAACACAGCGAACTGCAAATGGGTAAGGCGATATCAAGACTTGACTGCCCCACCAAGAGTGAGGTGGCTTCTGCCAAAATTTCTGGCAGTCAGCAGTTCCTATGGCAGCTCCACTGGTATTGCTGCCGATGGGCACGTTTTAGTTCCAGCCATACAGCACGTTAAAGTGACTATTCTCACTTAACGGAGTTACCTGCTACTGGCTACAGCGCTGCCACAACTTTGGCGAGGTTGAAGGCACGACAGTGTATCAATAGGACTTGCCACAGAAGACTCTCTGGATAGGCTGTGGCGGGAACTTGTGTCTGCACAATGCGTGGCTGCTCCGACCTCTGCTGACCTCAAGCTTGCTGATGGTGGAAAAGACTTTGAGGTCCAGCGCACAGCGCGGCATTTACGTTGTTCATGTAATACGCCCCTTAATTCCTTCTTCCTAAGGCGCATTTCCTGATCAACCAACTGGAGAAACACATCCAAAAAAGCCCTTACTACGCGCTGGTCCGGAACTACTCGCACTGCCAGCAGAAGCTTCGTGAGAGCCTCCGTTTAGTGAGATGTGATGGTGTCGTTTCTCGGGGAAGCTTCTTCGCTGCCTCGTTCGCCCTCCCTTGAAATGCAGACCTCACAAAAAATGTGTAGGGCTCATCAAAGTCAAGAGAGCAGGCCTAATGAAGGCTAAGAACGTTCCTCACTAAGCTTTGTTTGCTTTTGTTCCACAGCTTCTCCATGAGGACCAATTTTGCTTAAGTGCTGCACCACTTTCGCCAAAATGCTGCCATTCTGCTGCCTGCCTCAGAAATGCGGGCGGGCAATGGCGTGTCGAGCAGATCCAGGGGCTGCCTGATACTCACAGGCTCGGGCGAAACCACGTTAACGCTACTCTGAGGAGGCGCTAACCACGAGATGAGAACACTCCTGGTCAGCAAAAGGCGGCAGCGTGTAGACATACAGCTGAAGCGCTGAAATGTTGATTCAATTTGAAGAATTCAGCGTGGGTTCCTGCTGCATGCTGTGCATTCGTCTTCCTTCTCTGGAGAGGTCCGCTAATTTCATACGGCACAGTCTTCCTTTGCAATTTATGGATGAAACTAGTGACGCAACACCTATGCAGACGTGCATGCCTGAGCAACGGCATCAATGTCCTTCACCTCATATGCTCTAAGGTTAGGCACCTGCGCACGTTGTTCTTTATGTGCAAGACCACATGAGCGGGAACACTGAACACTAGAATTCGCAGTATGTGCATCTCTTCTACTACTTCCATACGAGTTAGTAGGTACACGCATACTTGCGCCGACTTGCAGGTACGGCTCATACATGCATCGACTTATCCATCTTGCATCACTGGCTTCTCCGTACCCGTCCCTTCCTGATACTGCGGCCGCAGACATCAGCTGTTTGTGAAGGCCGCGGAGGGAGCTACTGGTGTTGCTACTTCCCAGGCTCAGCAGCGAACCACCGAACTACAGGTTTCGTGTAGCAAGGAAGAATGAAACAAAATCGCCCTTGTGTTCATTGGGACCTGCGGTTGAAGATCCGCTCTAGTTGCTGCCGCCCCATACACCCAAATTATCGCCCCAGCAGCACATGACATCAGGCACTGCGTGCAACAGTAAAGGGCGGATACTGTTACCATCGCAGTGGGGAGACGCCCGCCCTCGACCGCGAAAGCGGGGAGAAGAGCAGTAGCTAGCTAACTAGCTAGCCATCTGGTTGGAGCTGGGTCGGGGCTGTATGCGTGTACGTGCTGCGCTCTTGCTACAGTTGCAACACCTGCAGCTGCGCCTGCACCCCCTGCGGGGTGACCAGCCTCACTGTAAGGAAGCTCGTCTCTCGCACTTGCGGAGCTCACATAGTGCGCTTGATGAGTTGGTGATTGATAGTATACTGCTCCTTCACCAAATGCCATCTTCCGCCTGTTCCTTTCTCTCAAGTTCAGTCGGCCCCCTCAAGGCCAGAACCGAAGCGACTGTTTTTCACTGAGAAGCCTGACAACAAACAACATTGCCCGCCCACCTAATGAAAAATAAGAATATGCTATCTACAGCCTATATAAACGCACGTGCATGCATTCCACGAAATCACAGATGCGCAGTCTTCATATAGAACTACATACATGCGTGTTCTTTGCATACATACAACGCACCAACTCGGGTGACTATGCAGATAAGGCTGTGAAGTTCGTACACAGGCACGTGTGGATACTACCATGTGCAACTTTCACGTGCATTTATAAGAACAGAATATCGGCATGCAAATTCGTTTGTGCGAGCGAAGTTCCCTGCTTGTACACGCACTCTGTGCCACAACGCCGACAAAAGTAATACGAATGTAGTATGAGCAAACAAAAAGGCAACTGCATAAGACAACGAGGCACAAGACACACATGAAGTAGGCAAGACCTAACACTGCCTTACCCAATAAGGACGGGTCCACTGGACGGCCTTGAGGCTTTTTCTTCCGTGATCTTCCTTTTCCATGGCTCGCCTCCCAGGTTGTTGCTAGAAACAAAACAAGCAAGACAAACCCAATGCATGCATTACTTGTCGAACGGCTCTTGCATATCCAATGGGAGTAAAGATTAGGCGCAACAGCTAATATGCAGATGAAAGCACCATGCAAGCATGTATAGAGCCGACAAGAATGCAGTGGCGGAGCACTAATCCTCCTCTCAAGAATAGATTATTTCGCTACTTCTGCTTCACTGCCTAAGCACTGCCATGGACCACCACTGCTGCGCGTTTTCTCATATATTTCCTGTCCACTGCAAAAACAGTGCTATCGCGCTCACGTGGAGAGAAGAACATACCATGAACGCCCCCTTTTTCACTTTGGGGCTTCTTCAGGTATTTGTCGTTCGTCATCACAAAGTTTTCCGCAAAAAGACGAAGATTCTTGTTGTTGGGGAAACTCTCTAGAAGGAATTCCTCCACATCCAATGGGTTCTGAAACGCGCAAAATGCTCCACGCCCACAAAGTCGCGGTCATTGACACTGCAGCTCACTTCATGCCTCAATAAACACCAGCAGTGAGCGCAACCGTGCATGCGGCCGCAAAGCAAGCCAAAAAGAAACAAACACAGATACTGACACCTGTGCAGCGTCCAGCCAAATATTGTTAATAATGCGGGCTGCTGAGGAACACGACTCCCACATCGTGCCTCACAAGGCCGTAAGAGGAGGATGAAGAACAACATGACAAGTGCAGGACAACACGGATTAAACTTTGACTGCACGGCAGAATGTCCAACTGCAATTCAGCGTGCTGGCAGCAAAAACACGTGGTTCGCGAAGCCCTTGAGCATGTATCCATTTCAAGAAAAAGTCGTGTGTCCGTTTACTGGCGGCAAGTTCACTTCAAGGAAACGCTTGGAACTCACATTCATGCTCGCAAGGTACTCCAGTATTGGAACTTCCAAGGGCAGCTCGCACTCCGTCAACAGCGACTTCCACTCTGCCATAGCAAAGAGCCACGTCATCACAGAACGAAACCTCTGCTGCCTCCCGCCCCTCGTTTTCACTGTCTTCCTTCGTTTGTGCCTGTCTGTCTAGTCTTATGGATCATACGAGATAAGCCCTGTTCCTCAGCCTGACTGCTTCTTCGTCTGTGCCTCTATTTCTGTATGTTCCTGTTTGCTGTGTCTGTCAGCCGCTGTTAGTCTGTGCGTGAACCGAAGTGCCTCTGTCTGCCTCGTGTGCAAATCTCTGCTCATGTGTACGCGCTGCACTGTCGTTCGTAGTTTGCAAATACGAACATCTCCGGCAAATGCTGTGCTTCCGCTTCTGCCTATTTCGCACTCGCACCTTGTAGCTGTGCCGCAGCACGTTTCGGAGATCCACTGTCAGCTGCAGATGCAACACACTCGCTCACACCCCACGCCTCTAAGTTACCCCGAGATACTTCAAAGCATCCCGAAACAAGCTCCCACCTGAGGCATGCTACCCCTCCCCCGCAGCAGCAGCAGCAGCAGCAGCAACAGCGGGAGCACACGGGTAGAGGTGAGACCCCACCTGGAGCTCCTGTAGTCACGGCAGGTAGCTCTTCGCCAGCAGAACGCCTTGTGCCTACGCAGCCATAATCATCCCTCCGCATGCAGTGAGGGGCCTGCTGCCTTGAAATCACACATTTAAGGCGTGAAATGCAGAATTACTGTATGCGGAAAAACCCTTGTGATCGTACCTAAGGAGGAAACCGCCGGGGCCTTCGCCGCTGCCTCTCCGTCCTTCTTTACAGAAGCAGGAGCCGCAGCTCGCTGTTGTTGCTGCTGTTGCTGCTGCTGCTGCTGCTGCTGCTGAATGGGGGTCAAGGGCGGCACTGAGGCAGCGAGGCCCTTGGGGGCCCCCTGCGCCCACGCAGTCGCGCCCAGTGGCAAGGCGCTGCCCTCTTTCTTGCTGTGAGATGCAGCAGCAATAAAATCCTGGAGCGACTGAGTGTTGCCCTTGACCTTTCCTTTAGCACTGGGGGCATTTCTACGAGCTGTTCCGGAGGCGCCCTCGCCGCCGCCCATCGGAGATGGAGTCACAGCACCTGCTGCTGCTGCTGCTGCTGCTGCTGCACCAGCACCAGCAGCAGGCGTCACTACAGCTGGCGTCACGGAGCCGCTGCTGTTGGTGTAGGTGTTCGTTGCGCCTTCAAGGAGATCCGGAAAATCTTCAGAAGAGCCCACTGAAGGGGCCCCTGGGGCCCCCAGGGTACCTGGGGGCCCCAAGGACGCAGGGTTCCCCCAGCCTGCAATAACCTGGCCGTTGTTGTCCTTCCGCTGCATTGTAGCCCACCGAAGGCGAGCAGCAGACGCTTCCTGCTGCTGCAGCAACAAATCAACGCAGCACCAAGTACAACAAGCCCAAACCCGCAGCTACATAGAAAAGGCATTTTCCAAAAAGCAGAAAAAGAAACACTATTCTGTGCAAAAGCCGCAGCAGCATCGGCACTGCAAATCCCACGGAGCTGGGCCAGCGTCCAGCAGCAGCAGACAGCAGCAACGCCCGAGGCAGCAACTGCTGCAGCAAGATGCTGCAGTTGAACTCACTGCTTTTAAGGCTGCTTCTTCCTCCCTTCTCCTTTCCTCTGCTTCCCTGGACTGTTCTGCACTTTGCAACTCCATCACTTCCTTCAAAGTGACAGGCCTACTCGCAACTGCTGCAGTAACTGCCACCCAAGGAGCGGGGCCCCCCAGGCCAGTCCTCCGCTGCTGCTCTCCTGAAGCATCTTCTCCTGCAGCACGCCTGCTTATCTGCTGCTGCTGCAGTTTGGGGGCCCTGGAGTCCGGCTCAGGCTGCTTAACCTCTTGCAACAGTTGCTGCTGCTGCTGCTGCAGATGCTGTTGCTGCAGGTGCTGTTGCTGGTGCGGCTGCTGTTGCTGTTGCTGCTGCTGTTGCTTCTGTTGCTCCTTCTTGCGCTGGCCCTTGTGACCTGCTACCTCCCAGCCACCTTTTGCAGCCTCTGCTGCAGCAACGCCAGCAGCAGTAGCAATGACAGCCTTTGGCTTGGTGACGCTTGAAGTGACCTTCTCCTGAGGCGCCTTCTGTTGCTTTTCACGAAGCTGCTGCGGCTTCTCTTGCTTTTGTTGTTGCTGCTCTTGCTGCTTTGTCTGGCGTTGCTGCTGTTCCTGCTGCTTCGCTTGGCGCTGCTGCTGCTTTTCTTGTGGTCTGTCCTGCTGCTGCTGCGAGTTCCTTTTGTCTTGCGGGTGCTTTTCCCTCTCAGCTGGCTTTTGCGGCAGCTGCTTGTCTTGCTGCTGTTTTTCCTGCTGCTGCTGCTGTCTTTCTTGCTGCTGCTGCTTTTCCTGCTGTTTCTTTTGCCTTTCCTGCCGGCATGACTCCTCCATAGCAGCTGCCCAGGTTTTAGGTGGAGCAGGGGCTGGTGCTTGTTGCTGCTGTTCCGCTTGCTGTTGCTGCTTCTCTAGCTGCTGCTGCTGCTTTTGCTCCTGCTCTTTCGACTGCTGCAGCAGTTGCTGGTGAGCTTGCTGCAGCTGCCGCTGCGTCTCAGACAGCTTTTCTGGAGACGCGCCAATGGGGAGCTTTTGCTGCTCATCTACTTGTCTGAGCTGCTGCTGCGGCTCTTGGTGCTGCCCATGAGGTCCGCCGATCCCGAGGAGGTTCTTCAGGGTAGATGTCATTTGCGCTGCACGACCCATCACAATCCCCTGCTGCTGCTGCTGCTGCGGCTGCTGCGGTTGCTGCTGATCTTCAGGAGTGCCTGCAAGAGGTTGACGGTGCATGGCCTCTGCATGCTGCTGCTGCAGCAAGAAGAACTGCTGTACTTGCTGCTGCTGCTGTGGCATCTGCCGTTCATGCGTCTGAACAGAAGGCATTTGGGCCATATCTGCAGCAGCAGCCCGGAGTTGCTGCTGCTGCTGCTGCTGCTGGTGATGCAGCGGCAGCCCCGAGCGGCGCATCCACATTTCCCAGGCGCCAGCATCGTCGCCAACAGCAGCAGCAGCAGCAGCAACAGCTGTCTGTGCTGCTGCCACAGACAAGTCATCAGCAGCACGAGAAACGGCTGACGAAGAACGCCGAGTTGCTGCCAGCGGCTCCCCAAGTCCATAACGGCCTTCCTCTGGGTTTGCTGCAGCAAGCGGCGCCCCGGGGGCCCCGCCCCAGCCCAGGGGGTGGGGCTGCTGCTGCATGCACAGGGAAGCCACAGACAGTCACAGCAGCAGGGGCTGGTGCACGCAGCAACAGCAGCAGCAGACACGACAGCAGCGGAAAAGAATGCATAAATGCAACAGCAGCAACAGCAGCAAGGTTAGCGACGAAACTGACAACTGCGCGACTAAATGCCTACCTCCCACAGCCGGAAAGTCGCTGGGGTTGCAGCAGGAGCCGCTGTTGCTGCTGTGGTTGGCTGCCTACGTCGTTGCTGTTGCTGCTGCTGCTGCTGCTGCTGCTGCCTCTGCTGCATCAGGCGTTCCCGCTGGGTCTGCTGCTGCTGCTGGATGAGCCTCTGGCGTATACCCTGCAAGTCCGGCAAAGCTGTGAAGGGCTGGGGGCCCCCCGCGGGGTAAATGAGCCCGAAAGGCAGCCAGGGAAGGTGGGGCCCCCACCTCATTAAAAGGTCATCAGCAAAGTAGTTGCGCTGCCACCACGCATGCATGTCTTTGCTGCTGAAGGGGCCCCTCTGGGTCCCACTGGGGTCTTTGTAGTACCAGATGCTGCTGTTGACATCTACCCGTTCCACTGACACTGGAGCTGCGCTCTCCACGGGGGCCCCCACTGCCTTTTGCTGTCCCTGGGGGGCCCCCAAGGGGGGCCCCACCAACAGGTTTTGCATGTCGAACTCCCGCTGCTGCTGCTGCTGCTGCTGCTGCAGCGCAACCGCGAACAGGTCTACACCCGAAGCGCGGCTGCCGAGGGGCCCAGGGCCGATTGGCGGCCGCTGGGGAGGCCCAATGGCAGCCTGCTGCTGCTGCTGCAGCCGCTGCTGTTGCTGC